ACACTTTGATTAAAAATACACTTTGAGCTATTTTGCAATGATGAACAAGAAGTGATGGTAGGTAAATAAATGTGGTGTGTCTGAGTTGCAGGAAAATATAAGTTTTGGGGGTTTTTTCCCCCAGAATTAATCCTCCCCAAAGATGTCATTTCTGATTTGTTCCTGTTTCCCTTGTTTCAACCATGCAGGTGATATGGTATCCATTGGTGTGCTGCACCTCAAAACCCCTTTCTTGTCTCCCTCCTCTCTTCCATGCTTCCTCCTTTTCCCATGCACAAACATCACAACACACACTCCTGTGTTTGTACCTCTGGCTTATTTCATTTATGCATTACACCGTATATTATCAGTTTCATTGGTTGAAGCCCCAGTGTGCTTTAATGCCTCTGGGTGTGGGGATGCACACATCACCTCTGCATGAGGGATCCCTTGGGATAAGCTGTCTGCAGCTGAGCCTGGAACTTCTTCAATGCTTTTTAAATTTAAAAAGCTACATCAGGAGAGCAGTCTTGCATAGCAAAATGCTGCAGTAAAGCGCATACATGAAAAGATGTGGAAATTCCATTTATTTGTAACTGCTTGTTCTCTTTGTGATCTCACTGCAGATGGAAAAGATTGGTTAGGATTCAGTGCTGACATCTTATAGCCCTGGAACACAAAAATCTGCTATGTATGCCCAGAACCACATCACATCAAAACAGAATCACTGGAACAAGCAAGCTGCTTTGTGAGCAGCACAGTAAATGCTGCTTGGCTCGGCTTTGTGCTATATAAGTTCCAAGGCTTCACTGCCCACTACCTTCTCCACATTTTCAATTTTTCAGCTTCCCACAGACCATTTGTGTAGCCTTCCCCTCCTAAAAAAACCTCAACAAAACCACCTTCAAAATACTTATTTTTTCTAACTAGCCCCAGTAGAACAGGCAAGAGGTGACACAAAGCACATGTGCCTGCTCACAGCTGCCTGGTGCCCGTGGCCTGGCTGACCATCACCATCCCCATCACCATCCCCATCACCATCCCCATCACCATCCCCATCACCATCCCCATCACCATCACCAGCACCATCCCCATCACCATCACCATCACCATCACCAGCACCATCCCCATCACCAGCACCATCACCAGCACCATCACCAGCACCATCACGTGGGGCAGTGTTACTTTTCCCCTCTCTAAGGACTCTACATTGGCACATTCTTCTACTCTGGTGCCATCAGTGCTCGTGGACCATGTAGGAATTTCATGTCTTTGACACCTCTATCTCCAGCCTCAGAAGAGAGCTGAGGGGGTCTCCAAAATTTTCAGTCTTCACTCCTCTAACTTGTTCTCTCAGCAAAGGCAACTCAAACTTTTCCACTGTTAGTGGATATAGTCACAATAAGGTAGAAGAGAATTGTGTAGTGTAAGAATCATGTGGGAAATACATGAGTGAGCATTTATAGTGGATTTTTACTTACAAGCACACCTTCAGGTTGATGGAGAATGGTGCTCCTCTTGCATTTTCAGAACTTCCAGATGTGTAGCAGGACAGGCTCATGGAAGATCTGGGAGCAGCTGCAGTCTTGCCATTTTGCTGCTCCCCATTTGCCTAGAACAAATTTATTTCTACCCTGTAGCCATCTCTCTGTTCTGAGGGTTACTAGTGAGAAGCACCTGCTGAAGACACTGTTTGCTACTTGCTTAGACTCTATTTTGGAGAGGCTTAC